TCGGACACCAAAGAGCATTGCCACTGCAATGCTTTTTTCTTTGTCCAGAGACATCTTCCAGAAGGTCGGGACGATCCAAAAAGCCAAAAGAAGGTCTGTAGCAATATTGATCGCGGTGGCTGCGGTTGAAAGACCGCCGTTTCCACATTGCAGTGCATGCATAGTCCACCGCGGAATCCCACACTGGAACGCCACCGCAAAGGTCGAGAATATAGCAAAGAGCGCAATGCTTCCGAACAGGGCCACCTTCGCTCTTCGGGATTGTGGGAATATGCGCTCGATGAGCAAAGCCGAGGACAGTTTCGCGAGCGCCATTGCAATGATACTGAGTATTCCAGCAACATAGATCGCCTGCAGCTCTGATTAGCGGTAGCTACCTGATGGCATTGGAGCTAGTAACCTTGAAGAACAGAGTCAGCTCCTTACCACTCAAGCCATCCAAGTCCTTCCCTAGGCCCCCTACGATAGCAAACTGCCAGCTGACAGTCGCGCCTAGATATACAACCTAAGAAATGTTTAGTATCACTTGCATCCATGGAAGCGAATTACATACTGTGGCTGCTACAACTGCCACATCGTCGAGACCGAATTCGATTTTGTGGTTGTGACCCTGCGCAAATCGTCCGACCAACACGCCCACCGTTATGATAGTCCATGAGTAAGTGGAGACAAGGACGAAGCCGCTCCTAGTTGACACACTACTTCGACGACCTTCATCCGAACCTGCGGAAACCATTGTACACAGCGAAAAGAAGTAGGAACAAAGGAAAACTGAATGGCATTCTCATTAGGAAAGCGTGCAGCTTATGATAGACGTTGAAGCATCATTCCACACGGCTCGGCCTTATACTCATCGCACCGACTCTCAGCTGCGCATCCAAATGCGTCTTGTCTTGGGTACGCATCTGGGGTCAACAACCCAACCATGGTCCAAGCTCGGGTCTTCGAAGCATGTCAGGATCTAATTCGTGTGTTTTCGCGACCCTTGAATCTGCCGCATGCTTACTGTCCGTGCGCATGCCGGGCAGCTAGTCCGTTTTCCGTAATGTCCATGTCCATCCGCTGCACCTCTCCAAGCTGCAGCTCGCTGAATCATCTTCTGCACTGGGGTCAGCTCGAACAATCTCTGTAATTACAGCGCGTCGTTCTTTGGGACGATGTGGCCTGGTTGGTGAACTACCAAGTCTCGGCTTCACATCCATCAGGAAGCGGAACGGTTCGTTCAATCCTGCGTCGATCGCTTGTCCAAAAGCTCCAAGCCGGGAGTTTCGAGCTCAAACCCCGCCTCATGTTACGCGTTACGACGATGAACTGCCGTTAGTGGCGCCGGCTACCGTGTGGATGGTCCCGGACAGCGCGAGCTTATCTAATGGAGCGGCCATCGAAATATCACCCATGCGACGAACGACAGGACTGTAACTTTACGGGGCGATTGGTGCGTTGGATCTAACCATTTTCATGCAGCGGAACGCGCCGGAAAGATGACCCTTGGACGCTGCTTGTCGTACAATGTAAGATCGGGCTTGCATACGGCAATGGGGTTTGCAGCGCTCGACAAACCCACTGCGTACGATGTCGGGCGTCTTTCGTGTTTCTTTTAGCCAGACGAGCCAGTAAGAGAGCTGCCAACTTCCAGAGTCCCTCATGCAGCGCGCTCCGCAGCTCCCTGGTTCTATCGTACTTCTCCAGGGCACTGGTAGGATTGCTGCATCTTGCCAACTCCCTTGACTTTGCCATCCCGCACGTCACCCGCCGGCCATTGCATTGGGACGTCTTGCGCCAGCATGGAACTCAATAGTTACATGGCAGATGCTGAACTCGATGTTCTGGAGCAAGAATCTGGTCAGGGCGAGAAGACGGCGGTAAATACGCCGGCTGGGCCTTCGGGAGTGGGGCGATCACCACATCAGCTCGAGGTGAGCATCACTTGAGCGACTTCAGTAAAGTAGCGTACTGACTAGAGCAGCGTTATATCAACCTCTCGGCTGTGATCAACTTCGCTGTGATCATTCTCGCCTCTTGGGAATCGTTTGCAGTGACGTTCCAGTTCGCATTGATCAACGGCGGTCCCGCATCTATCTTCTATGGCTCTATCCTGGCTGGCATCGGCGCCTGTGCCGTTGGGTTCTCACTGGCTGAGCTGGCTTCAATGTATGTACCAAGCGTCTGTCATGGACATTTCTTGACGACTCGACAGAGATCCAACCGTTGGTGCCCAGTATCGTTGGTCAGCTAATCTCGCTCCGGCTGCTCCTCGCTTCTGGGGTCTACTGCAAGGTGAGTAGAAGTAGGCACTTATGCTTCTTACAGCTCACGTTACAAACAGGATGGATAACTGTTGGTGCCTGGTGCTTTGCTTGCAGTGGACCGCCTTCCATATTAGCCAACATCATCACGTCACTGGCGATGTTCAACAACGAGGACTACGTTCCTGAAAGATGGCACACCAGCCTCATGATGGTCGCGCTCATGATAGTCCCCTTCATCTCGAATCTTTGGTTTCGCAAACTTCTCGATGCATTCGAAATCACTGGTGGCATACTTCACGTCTGCCTCTTCATCGTGATAGTCGCCGTCTTCGTCGCGTTTGGACCGCGCAGCGACCCTGACTTTGTCTTCAAGACACTGACATGGGAAGAGTCGGGATGGAACAACAAGGGCGTTTCTTGGGGTCTTGGACTTTTGAGCATGAGTTTCGCCGTTGTTGGAGCAGACAGTGTTCTGCACATGTGTACGTCTACGAGTTTGCACACAGTGCTCATCGACTGACTGAATATGAAGGTGACGAGGTGAAGAAGGTGCGCACGCGCGTGCCACGCAGTATCATAATTACCTCTGTCGCGAACTCAGCGATGCTGATCGTCTTTGCTACTATCGTTCTCTTCTACATGGGCCCTCTCGACGATATCATCGCCACCCCGCTTCCAATCCTATGGGTCATTTACAACATCACCGGCTCTTCAGTGGCAGCTAATGTTCTCACCTCACTCATAGCCCTCCTCATCTTCTTCGCCCTCTTCAACATATTTGCGTCCGTCTCGAGACTTATCTGGGTATTCGCACGCGACAACGGTCTGCCTTTCTCTGACTTCTTCTCTTACGTAGGTCGCCTTCACGAGCTCGTGTATCATTGCATTAGCTGACAACCTTAGGTGCACCCCACACTCAAACTCCCCGTAAACGCGCTTCTCCTTGTTGGAACCATCGTAACATGTCTCTCTCTCATCTACATCGCCAGTGCGACGGCCTTCAATGCGCTCATCTCACTTCAAGCCCTCGCGTTGCACGTATCGTACTTCTTCCCCATCCTCTTTATCCTCCTACGCAAAATCAGAGGCCCACCTCCACCTTATGGGCCGTTCAAGCTCGGTCCTGTCGGTATACCCGTCAATACGTTTGCGCTATGCTATCTGGTCTTCGTGGTACTTTGGATGCCGTTCCCTCAGATTTTGCCAGTCACACGAGACAACATGAACTACGCGGGACCCATCTTTGGTGCGGTCGTAATCGGGGCTTTGGCCCATTGGTTCATTAGTGGGCATAGGACGTTCAAGATGCCTGTCATTCGGTATGAGTAGACCATTGTCGGTTCTGGTACCACTACACATGTTGTTGGCTTCAACAGTACGACTTGGCATGATCTTCTTTCGCATATAGCTTGCTAGAAGTCGATAGCATGATACGTAACAAGCATCCATGAGCCTTAGTATGCGACATCAATGCAGATCGTGAGAATCCCAGTGGCACCTTCACATAACGACAGCTTTGCGGAAGACTAGCCCATCCCTGTGCCCCTGCGCCCCGCATCAGCAGCCATCCGGCGCAGGGAAAGATCTCCAATTCCCTCATCACGTTTCGACCAACTACGCCGCGCACCTGCACTTAATTGCACTGCAGTGTGATGGGAGGATTTAAGGCCGACAAACAACAATGAACAACGTCTTGGCGGTGAGCTTGTATGGCTTAGAAAACACCCGGGCGCTGCTGATTGGTTGGGGATGACCAACTGTAAGTTGTTTACTTACGTTACACTGGGCCTGACCGGACGACGTCACAAGCTGACAGCTTCCTCGTATAAGGAGAAGGAGTGTCAGGACGAGCAAGATGTGATAGCTGTACTTAAACCTTATTACTTGCTCGATCAATCCGCAACATTATCACCACACCAAAATCTTCCTACAATGGCTCCAACCCTTCCCCCAATGCCGCTTCCAGGCCTCATCATGGTGCCCAACTGGACAGCCCAGAAACACGAAACCTTCGTCATGAAGACCGAAGGCGTACCCACGAAGAAAGCCCAAAGCCTCGTCAGCTACTGCACGTCTGATGAAAAAGCTGGAGAACCGTTCCTGAAGATATTGGAGGAGGAAAAGAACATTGTCAAGTTTATGACGATGGATGGACAGGAGGCTATGCGGATCAACGTCCATAGACACACACTCGCAAGGCCGAGTGCAGAGTACAAGGCAGTGAGGAGCGCGGATGCGAAGCCGTTGTGGGATCTGGAGTTGAAGGCTGGTTGGAGGGTGCCTAGCTACAGTATGTCTTCTCTTCGCTCATTTCCCTGCGTGCTTTCCATCGCGGTCACCTCCTCTCCATCTATCCGCCTCTTCCTCGAACTGACACACTTCCGTTTTAGACATCACCGTCCATGACAAATACGTCGAGAACCAGATGATCGAGTTCGAACGCAAAGTTGCCGGTGAGGAGAAGGGTCTCGTTGTCAACGGCAATCCGGTCATGACCATCTCTCGACACGCGAAGTGGGCGCATATGCATGCCACCTTCGTTGTGCATGTCGCGCCGGGAATGGATCTCCTGTTCGCGCTCGGCGTCGCGTGGATTCGGTCGGATAAACAGAGGCAGGAGGATGCCGTCAATACTACGCTATTGATAGTGTAGAGAGACGAGAGGACGGTTCTTGCTTAGCGTACGAGTTACAATGGCGATGGAAGATGGGGTTTGAGAGGAGGTGGAACTCTGTTCATCTAGCGTCTCGATCATACAGGCTCGTTATGACTCCGCTTCTGCTTCTTAAATAACCACTTGGACCCTCTCGTACGTTCATGCTCATGAGAGTACGATCGCTCGGGGAGACATCCGATCTTGGGTAACGCCGTGACTTCGTTTGCAATGTTCACACGTACGTCTCCAAATTCGATCTCATTTTGTGGTACCTCGCGTAGTTCCATGGCGTTTTTCTGAGCTTCATTCTCCTTTGCTGACCAAGCCCGGATCCGAGTGTCGGTGTCGCTATGATTGCTCATCGCTGAACTGAGGAGGCGGGAACCGCCGCGTGGATGTGTCGAGAAGCGTGAGGTGAGGGGTGATGTCGCAACCCAAGGCCAGCGACCACTGACCATACTCTTCCTGGTGGCTAATGGAGAATCACTCTCTTCAGCGCCCAGAGAAACCCAGTCCCAGCCCGCAGGCTTGCGCCACTCTTTCTTCCCGGGTCGTTCCACTGGGGCGGCATGCGCGTGCACGTTCTTTGGGTCCGAGTTCTTTTGTTTCGAGGACTGAGTGATCTCGGTAAAGAACTCAATGACGTTCTTGGGCAGCATCCTGACCACCAGTATCCGAATGGATGGCAGCGATACGCAGGCGAAACCTGCCGCAAGTTCCAACTCCGTCCAGACGGTGACCTTCACGTAGTCCCAGGTAGGATCCACAGAGATCTTAAACGTGAGTAAGACGAATAGGCGGATGATAGTCGCGATGCATCCGAAAGTTCCGATGGCGAACATGAAGCAAACGGCGACCTTCTTATAGCGCCTCATCTGTAAGTTGCGGATGAAGAATAAAGGTAGGATTAGCAGGAGGATGTCCTGCACGATAGCGCTGATGGAGTTTGCCATCGGTACTGCTTGAATGTCTAGGCACTGCCCCTTGATGTCTCGATTCCAAAAGGATTCAACTGGCGTGCATATGAAGATCGTCAGAAAGACGATGACGGTCGAGTTGATGATGATGCCGGCTCCGAAGATGTAAGCGGTGATCCGGAAGCTTTTCGTTTGGAAGATCTCGAGGTAGAACGCGATGAGGGAAAGTTTGATGAGGCCAAGCACAGCGATGTAGGTCGACCAAGAAATGTAGACTGCTTTGTGTTAGCATGCCTATAGCGAAGTCGCAAGGTAGGGGTGCATCATACAATAGCGGAGAATAGGCGAGAGAGCCCCGTCTTCAAGATTCCACAAGTGCTCGCCGAAGCCACGTTCCGTCACTATATTGCGTTAGTTACAGTAGATGGCAGCTCGCAGACCTTTTACTTACTGGCCAAGGTGCATCCTGCGGGTACTGCGCATAACACCAGAGCAAAAACGACGATATAGTCGTCCATTGCTAGCCTCTTATTCACCAACTTGCCGACGATTCGTAGAACGACAAACACCACGGCCATGGAGTAGATAACACCAGTCCACATGAACATGTCAAGGCGTTGCGATTCATCGGACATGTCGCAAAGAACGGCTTGTACTCTGGCAGTGTCCAGACTTTCTTGCATAGTACAATTTGCAAGCATACATGCTGGCACGTCTGCCGCAATCCGATCGTTGCCACAGACACATTCAGTATCATCCAGGGTGCAGCCAGCTTTTGGGATAATAGCAATCATGCAGACAAGCTGTGTATTGTTAGCAATGATATCGGACAGTGTAGCTGGGCATGTACTCCGCAAGCGGGGATGTCCGCAATGCCTAATGCCCTTGCATCCAGTTCCGGACCCGACGCGCTGGCATGGCCAAACGTGAAGACCAGACAAAAGACCGACAATAACGCAAAAAGATGCATATTGTGAATAGTAATCGATGGGGTGGTGAGACAGGCTGACCCTGGGCTCCGGTCGGCGGCCCCGATGACTATTTCACCAAAGATAGATGGCAAAAAAACTTTGGAGTTGCGACATAGTCCAACGCTCTCGAACTATGTTGGGGAAATTCCCATCTTCGGCGTCTCTCAAAGCGTGTTTGAGCTTAGTATAGTACTCCCGCTGTTGAAGCCAATCAAGCGGTGTGGCCGTTAGACCATAGCGCCGTGATGGCGCTGTGGAATCGCCGTAGCAGCGGCTTGACTCGATATTACCCACGGCACGTGGGCTTTTGAACCAGGCTTTTCGTTCGGTACCAGTTGGCTCTATCGCGCAACGCCCACGGAAATCTAATTCTTTACTACTGTGCAGGGAGAGAGCTTGCCCGGCCGATCTGACGGCGCTTTTCGGCCATTCGCAACTTTGCCCTATGGTAATTGTATGGGAATGTATGACGGCCATACGACTAACTGGTTATGAACGCAATGGAAGCTTGCCTTCCGTGAAGCTGAGGCGCATCTCGCCGTTCATGGCGTTCATATGTTGGTCGGCTTGGACGCTGCTTCCAACATCGTAACTCGGCAGAATGCGCCTGGCCCAACGTAATTGCGGGAAGAGGTAGCGTAGTGTGTGATTAAGGAGTCTAGTCGAACGGTACAGCAGCCTCACTCGCATGTGCCCAAGGAAGGCGCCGTTTGCTGAGAAGACCCAAGCAAGGGGCAGTTGGCAAAATCAGGGTCCCAAGTGATTACCTCATCACCTACGCCGATCCGGGGCCTTCTATCCCGCCCCACTCGAGATGAAAAAGGGCAGCTTTGCCATCCACTCGCATCAAAACACAGGAAACAAAGTTGGCTGACGTCCGTTAGCCATCGTTCTTCGACGCATGATTAACATGGGATCTTCAACTGTCAGATTACCGACAAGTCAGAACGCTCGGAGCAGCTGATCTTGTCCAGCCCGTGCTTTACCCGCTCAAACTCTGCCTAGGCATCGAAAACACCTGCGACACTTGATTCCGCCATGTTCATCACCTTTCATCAAGCTCCAAACGATACGCACGCCAGCTCTGAAGCATCACATCCTGCTCATAAAATAAGCTTACTTGTATGCGATGGGCTTCTGGGAATTTGCACCATCGTTATCCTGCTTGCCGTATCGCCACCTGGACAGCTTTCATATGCAGAAGAACGTGTCATTCAATACCAGCAAACGGGTAGTCCCGAAAGCACGAACGACATCGCTTAAGCGCGCCACGCCCATGTGTCTCGATCCGAGGGTCAACGCCCCAAGCACCTAGGCAGCATGTGAAACCTAGATCGGAATGCTATGCCTGAGGTGCCCAACGGTCTCGTATCTGGGAAAGGTCGGATCGATCCATCCATGTGGAGGACTCACTTTGTCTACCCATTTGGACCAGATGTAATAGCTAAGATGGTCTTGCAGATCGTCTGCTTCCAGAGCGACAAAGCCCAACGCCTCTTAAATTTGAATGGCCGATCGCCCGTACTTGTTGTCGATCTCAGCACCCTGTCGACCTCTCGCAGCTCTTGCCATGTCGCGTCTCCATTTCTGATGTGGCTGGGTCAACATTCAAGAACTTTATACTTCCATTGGTGCGGAGCGGTGATATCGCAACAAGATGCACGCTTCGGGGCAGAGGAACAGTCTTGTACACGATCTTCAGAGTTTGTTTTCATTATCGTCCGTCCTATAGCAGCCTCGCGGTGATCTGAACATACTGGATAGGCTGATACCACCACAAACCCGTCGCAATCTCACCCCATTGCTTCGATACGTGCGCCAAGCACAGCAATTTTGCGTCTCCAAACAACCAGTCTACTTCCAAGTTCTGTACCACTCCTCCGTAGTGAGTGGATGAATATCAGATCGGTTTGGCCGCCAGTCGCAGGTACAAGGACTGATGCTGTCCATCTCAAGGTATGCAGCATTGATGAAGCCTACAATGTTCATGGAAACCCCGAAATGCTCAAGTTGGTCCCGATTGAGTCTCTCGAATCGTAATGCAAGTTGCTCGTCTTGAGTCGACGGCAGGGGAGACCGGTGTTCAGGACTGAGTAGAATGTTGATCGAAGGTAGTGCAGATGCAGCTGCCATGATACCCATAGCGATCCGCTGTCGTCCTAGAATTAAGGCCGATCTTGCGACCCAAGCACAAACGCTATCGACATCGTGGTCTGAGGAATATCCGATTTGATGGATCCTCGTCCGAACATACGGTTTTGCGTCATCGTTCAGACTTTTCGCAAGATGCATCGATTGTGACTTTGGAAACTAGGGTTATTAGCTAAGGCCAATATCAGCAAGAAACGATCTGTAAAACGCACATTGATGTTGGAAATGTAACAGAGCGCATACAGGAGCTTTTGTAGCCCACACAGGTCGACAAATTCCATTGTGCCAATGACCTTGACGCCTCCATCCTGGATCCATTCACGTATGGCTTTGTTGACAAGGGGAAGTGCTTCTTGGTGAACCTGATGACATGCTCTGAGAATGGCGGTTGAGACAGAGTGTGAGATCAGCGTAATCCGTTCTTCACTACCCCGATGACCAACCATCACATGATTGGTGGAGCGCGGAAGTCGTTCATATACCATCAAGCGAATATCCTTTGGTAGATCGAGGAAACGGAATGGTTCCGGAGTCGCTCTGTTTGACGCGATCGCCATGTTGACGGGTGACTGCAGTCACGGCTGCGGGCGAGTACTTTGAGAGGCAGTGGGTGAGGTCGTGGCAGCGATCAGAGAATCGCTCGAGCCATATTTGCGCTCACTAGCGCCATTCTGGTGCCTAACGCACGGGCGGCAAACAACCGGGTGTGTATAGTCATTTGACAAACGCTCTCAGACTCAAGAAAACCAAGCCTATGACTCTCCAGGATCAATCTTCGCTATTCATATCAATACAAATCTGCGCCGGCGAAGTGAAGCCTGAAGTAAGATCATCCTCGATTTGCTAAGCATGACTGCACCGAACCCCTTCCGATTCCTCGACCTTCCAAAAGAAATTCGACTCATTGTCTACGAGCGCCTGCCACGCCAGATTAAACACCATCATGTCATCAATCCCTTCCAGTCAGAAGACCGCTTTGTTCTCATCACGCGGTGTCTTCCAGTCGCTATTCTCTCCACCTGCAAGTTCATCAACTCGGAAGCCACCAACATCGTTCGAAAGATCCAGAATGAGTTCATTTTGAGTCAATGTCCTCAGTTCATCGCTAATCGTCAGCTTTTCTTCCAAACCGGCTTCATGAGTGTGTTCAAAATCTTTCCGTATAGGTGCTTTGCCCAAGGTCCAGGGGAAGGAGACTTGTTGGCTGATAGCGTACGCCGCAGTCTCCAAGCGCTTGCCAGAGGCTGCTTCGATGAAGCGGTGGTCAAAGCCGCCGCCGCAAGGTTCAACGCTCAGTCTTGTCGCCAGATAGCTTACCAAAATGACACATTAGGCCCTGACCAGAAGACCACATTCGTTTCATGATTTTGGACGATGTGGGAAGCACAATGGGTTGGGATCACAAGCTCGAGAATTGCGCGATGATTTGTCGTTGGTTCAACGTTTTGTATCTTCCGGAAAGGATTTCCAGTGTCGTTTGTGACGGCTTTCTGCCAGCGGATTCGTACACTTCTTCAGGATTTGCTCGGGGTGTCATCCCTACACTTGTAGATGTGAGATGTTGGCTGAAACCCAATGTTGACATTAGGGAGCTTGCATCTGACGAGAGGGCCTGGCGTAGTGAATGGGTGGAGTAGATGGTTGTTTGTAATACCCAAAGATGAGGTTGTAGCCCATTTCCAGGCGCTCGCTGATAAGCAAAAATGCACTGTGACCCAGCTTGCCCTGACCTGGCTGCTCAAGCAGGGCAACGACGTTATCCTCATACCAAGGAACGAAGCGTATCGAGTATCTCGAGCAGACATGGGCGAGCATGGAAATCAAGCTGAGCGACGAGGACGAAAGGGAAATTCGCGCGTTTGCGAACGATGCGGAGGCGAACGGAACGGCGCAGCCGGCTCAGTTCTCCGGCTATTTGTATGGCGACACGGTCGGACAGCAGATGAGCGGATACTGCATTCACATGGCGCTTTCATATCCCATATAGCTATATAGTGTGGCTTCTAACCTACGCCTACGTATATCTATCATCAACGATGGCCCTGGCCCTAGCACTGGCACGATGGTAGAAGAAGAAATGCTCTTGCTAGCTACGCGCATCGGGAAAATGAATGCTTTAACAAGTTGTCTGTCGCGTATGGGTAGTATAGCATTGATCGGAAAGTACATCCAAACGACCTCGGCGCATACATGATCATTTACGACAAGACTTATCTTCACTGACCGTATCATACCATCATAGCGCCGTGCATATCCTCGCGAACAGCACTCATGCGCCTGCTACGCGCTTTGTCGGGTGTCTGCGTACCGTCGGAGTACTGCTCTCCACTCAAACGATGACGATTGAAAAGCGGTGGAAGCAGGAAGTTTTGTAGTGAGCGAACGCGAACATGCGGACCATCCGCGTGGTATGATGACGGCGCGCGAGATGAGGAAACTCGAATTGGCATTGCAGCCCCGAACGGCGACGTTGGAATGAAGGAGTAGCGGAAGGAGGGGTGTCGGAAGCTATTTGACTCTGCTTCGTATAGTTTGTCGTCATTGCGAGCGGGTGGGGTATGTCGCGTTGTGAAGGTTGCGTTTGTAGAAGGATGTTCCAGGCTGTCTTCCCTCTCGCGATTTCTGTCGATTGATTAGCGATTGTCTCCGTTAGTACTTGGAAATACTGACATGCACTTCTCGCAAGGGCGTGACGTGGTCTTCAATCTGAACGGGTACATTTCCAATGTAGCCATGACACCAATGCAGGTCAGTGCCATCATGATACCGGGATGGAGTCCGTAGAACCAAAATTCGAGCCAGGAATGCTTGTCGAAGGTCTTCATTGTGATGATATGTGAGAGCGTAGTTTGAGGCTCTAGATGTACTGCCAAAATGGGGCGATTGAAGTTGCCGCTATGATTGTAAAGCATCGAGCTGACATCGCGGCGAGCTTGTGGGTCACTTTAACTCCCGCGAGACTACAACCAACACTTCGGCGACCTGTCCATCCCGCAAGGCTCTTGCCGTCCCACGCGACGGAGACTCATCACAATACGGGGCCTTTATGCGAGGCTGAGGCAGTGTTTCGTTGCTACTTTGGGACTGAGCTGGTCTGCAGGCGTCGCTGTATGCCGTGATAGGCTGGATATTACGGTGACTTAGTTCTTGATTCGTGGGTGATTAGGAATTGAATCGATCATCCTGATCCAACTGTTCCAGTTGGCAAGGTTGGTGACGGGGTCTGAAGGCTTTGAAACACCACCAGAATCCGTCGTGGGGTGCTACACTTCGGACACTCCGATAACAGGCCGTACGAGTTCGCCCGAGCAATGGGTATCAGTTCCATTCCGCGATGTAATGAGTTGTAGAAGTCTGAACTGTGATCTCAAGCTTGGCGAGAGAAAGGTTCGTGATGTCTCATACGAAGGCTGTTGTGGAAACCCTCTTCCCATTTCCTGACACTCGTACAAAGCCCGCAAAGAGACTCTGGAACACAACGGACTCGCCGAACCAAGCCACCAGAGCGCTACGATATCGTTTGAGATTGACTTGGGATAAAGCAAAGCACGATGATCTAATCCGAACCTGTACTTGGTTCATTCTTGTCCGCGAATGATGACATCCCGAAGATATGTGATAATGTAGAGCACGCAGCCCTGATCTCAGACGCAGTAGTCATTCTCATGCGGTGGAATATGTGCCATCCAATGGCATTCCAAGTTGCGTCGGGCGTAGGGCGTCCTGGGGGTGTTGAGTTGGGCTCAACAGGCATCCATGGATTTAGGTGTATCGCGGGCGGACCGCACCTTCGCTTGCATTCAGCTGCCGATATCGATGATTAGAAATATAGCACATATGAACTGATGTCGTTAAGATTGTAGGCAGCCTCGAAAGTCATGAACAAATGTCATGAGCGATGACCCAAACGACGATGAAAGTATGCACCGCGCATTGGCCAGCCAATCAAACTCTGCTGCCCAAGACATGCCGTCTTCCGCGGTTTTGACATGTAACTTCGCTGCGTACGTACTTCGTAATCCAGGACGCGCTGCTAAAGAGTCGAGGCTGCCCCGTGTCGACGTGAAAGATTGTGATGTGACATCCAGAACCACAGGCGATCGATGTGGGTCAACGTGGGGCAGTTCCGTTCCGGGTTAGTACCAACACCTGCGGCGGTTGTACCCGTCCCTCCTGCATTCTTCATCTCCTTTCACACTGCACCATCGGCGCTGTCGATAATAATGCAACAACCATTTATCCCGTCACATTCGCAATTTCGCGCTTCGACTGCAATCGATGATCGCAATACCTGACTAATTGGGACTTGCTACTGCATCGCTCGATCACTTGGCGATGGCCCATTCGTGGTTACTTGTACGCGTTATGCGACTCGGTAAAACACCAGTCTTGTCGCGCATTGGAGACACATGTGTTTGTACGATTGAAAGTATTATAATTATGTACCCCATCTCGTATAACAGTCTATCCGCGCTGACCCGGAACTCCAGCCTTCGCAAATAGATAGACCGAGTCGCAAAGTACCGCTGTAGCGCTTACTGCGAACATGCTACACCCATTTTGTCCTCAAGCCACCAAGCACACTCAAGCTGCGCAAGCCGTACCAAGCTCAAAACACCCAAAGAAATACAGTCTGCACACATCTCCACCTATAATTTCGTGCAGTACGCGCTGTGAATCTTGTAGTCGAACGTGCCCAGATCTCCAAACACCGACGCCTGGTCCTTACTGCCGCATTCCATCTTCTGGCCGTTGGCAGGGCAGTCGTGACCACTAGTGGAAGTTAGTTTCCAACGGTCTTTCCAAGTAAAAGGAGAATGCTGGATATGACGTACGTGTAGAACTTGCAGTGGTAGCCCTTCTCGACGGTGACGCTGCGGATCTTGCCATCGAAGTTGCCAAAGATGTTGTCTATGTCGGTGCAGAAGTCGTTGGCGGGAATGGCGGTTGACCGGCCATTGAAGTTTTTGTCGGTGAATATGGTGGCCCCGCGACCGTCCGCTGCAGCCTGTGAACTGTTAGTATCATGGGTGGAAGGATGGTTTGGTGCGGTAGTCTTCGTTACGTACGGTCGGTACAGCAGCGACAAGCGCGCTCAAGAGAGCTAAGACGGGGATGAAGAGCTGCATTCTGTGGGTTCTATTTGGTTGATGGTTCCTGGAAATCGAGAGATCGTCGAGACTAAGTAGAGGGTGGAAGTTGCGGGTTTATTTCGGCGGAGGCGTAGGTTCTTTAATATAGGGAGGGCGCGGGCAGAGAAGGAGCGAGGCGTGGTCATGACTGCTTATGACGCTAGCCTGTAGTTAGATGAACAGCATTCTTTGTCCCTAATGAGTGAAGCGACTGTGGCCCAAGCTTCCAAAACGAGCGAAGGCTGCATTTGTCTATGCTTGTATCGTGAAAGCTAACGGTATTCTGGTGGTAGGCGCTGGGGCTAGTTGTTTATATTGCGGCGCAGGTGTACCCGCAGTTCGGTAGGATAGCCGCATCAGGAAGTTTGTAAGATCCCTCGTCCAACTCGCACTAGATGAGGCGCGGATGTGCCCAACACAGCCGGAATAGCAAGATGGCTTGTTCAAATATTGGAGAACGATTGAGCGTCTCTTTCTGTAAGTCAATGCTGTTGCATTCCTTCGCGGATTTGTCGCTAGCTTACCAGGGGAAATTGTTGAATCAAATGAACGTGTGTTGATGCTATGAAGACTGCGATGAGGCCCCTCAGTTATAACATGCAGCGATGCAAGCGAATAGTCAGTATGAGACCTTTCAACGAGAAATAGACAAGATTGCGCTACCCAGTCCCAACGACGCTTACCCTCTTTGTATGAGCCAAAATTCATTCGATATAAATGACCTCCTCACTGCTTATGCAGTCTGGATGTAGTTGGAGGCCATTCCGATATGAAATCAGGCCGGTCTTCCTTTCTCGCGCCCAACAGCTGGAGGTGACACCAATTCGGACATAATGATCTCCCACAGCCTGCAGAATCATGAAAATAGGCTCGTACCCGGGAGCTACATCATTAAGGAGTACTGCTTTTACAGTGCCCTCCGATGTAGAGTTTGTGAGCTCATTGTCAAGCTGCAATTCGGAATAGAATTCCAGGTCATTCCACTCTTCGCAAGGCGGGTGCTGGAAAACCACTCGTGACTTTCCCTCCCGCTCTTCCCCATAATTTTGAACTGCATCAGAAGTGGGACTCATCTCCAAGGAGCCCGTATAGAATGACCCAATAAGCCGTAAAGTGGGACCACCGCCCGCAAGCAAACGGTCGTATCGGCTTTCGATATGGCTTTCTGGAGTCAACCATA